TTGCGAGCAGCAGTTGATTTGCTGTATGCAGGGCTCATGTCACTAATCCTGGCTAAAGACCTGCGGATTTCGGCGTCACACTCGGCGGTGCTGGAGAGTGCAGTGGAACTGAGGAAATAAAAGTCTGTGGTGGAGAGGGTAGATTATATCAATAAGTTAACCGAGAAAGCAGTTTTTCTTTCCTTTACGCGTGCAGGTGCTGGGCGGGCAGTCTCAACCTTTGCACAGTACTTTTTCGTAGTGCTGCTTCTCACCTGCTTACTCTGCCTTTTTCTCTAGTTGCCTGATCCGTTGTTCATGCTAAGAATGCTTCCTCAGCAGCAAGTTAAAACTCCTCTTCCACAGGGAACCCTTTTCTTATACCACCAAGCTATTGGCATGACCATGCAATTGTTTTAGGGAACTGATACATTTTAAAAAAAAAATAATTAAAAACAACTGGGAAAATGATACCAATTGAACTGCTTTACTAGTCCACTCTACCAGACAGCTGCATGGGCAGTTCTCCTAGAACAGTGGTGGAGATAAAACGTAGAAAGGGGTTATTTGGAGGAGAGGTGGCTGTTGAAGCCAATTTCTTTAATGAAAAAAATACAATGAAATTGCAGTCAAAAATTTATCCTCAGTTCCCCAGGATGTTATCTGTGCTGTTTTAAGGGAGCGTGATTTTTACACAGGTGATGTCTTCGTCTAAGTTTTAGAACAGTAACAAAATCACTGCTGAAGAGAAAATTAATTTAACTTTGGTTAGAGTAATCGTGGATTTATAAAAAAGGAAAAACATGAATCACTTCTTTTTTTCTTCTGCCCCAAAAAAGTTACTTTGGTTTGTGCTTTAATCAGCTCAACTCAAACATCTGTATGTTGTATGTAAATGGCTTTCATTTCTAACATTCCTAAAAAGAAACATGTCAAGTTTACCTCGGTGCACTTTTCTGTTGAGGGTGTGTATATTGGAGGTTAAATGAGAGCTGTATTCTAGGGAGAGAGAATGCCCTGGGTTATGTTGGTAAGTCAGCTGAATGGCTGAACTTTAGCCAATAAATCTAGATTTAGTTTGGAACATGAAGGGGGAAATAAATCAGTTTTATTTCTTTTTTTTTTTTTTTTTTGTCACTTAATCTTATGGTCAACATTTATTGTGTTTACAGTTGATGCAGGTAATACACCTGATTAAGAAGCCTTAAATATCAGGTTTTGTAGTGAACAGCTTTATTTGTTACAAAGTCAATGATGCGTGCAGTTAGGTAAAATTCACTTTACTAGATAACTTCAGAAAAACTAACTTTTGTTGAAATATATTGATGATAACTGAATCTTTTTACAAGACTCAATATTTAACTTAGGGATTCTCTGCTCATGCTATTTAGAGGCAGAAATCCTTTCACAAAGGCGTGTTACCCTAGTTTTGCAGCTGAGTTTGATAATGACGTTAGAAAGAGAACTGTCTAATAAGTGAAATAGGGGAACTGCTTTCTACACCTCTTTGCTGGCTTGCATATAGATAAAATGCGAAATCCCTTTGCTGGGCAGAAATTTGGCCTACAAATCAGTTTTGTATCGAGAGCAGGATCTGTGACTGGCTCCACAGTTACAGAAAAATTAAAGGCATTTTGGTTCTTCAACAAGTTCAATGTCTGTGCAGAATTTTCCTTGAAAGAGATGTGTAATTAAAATTTCTCTGGAAGATCTGCCTAGCTGCGGTCTCACCAGCTAATTATGCGATGACTGGGTTGTTGGGTAATTTCAGATGATATTTCGTAGTTACAGACGTGAAACTTAGGAGATGTGGTTTCTGTTCCCAGCTCTGACACTTATTTCCTGCTGTGACTGAAGTCAAGTCACTAAGGTTGTCAAGGATGTGTCTCTTTCCAACCATAGCTCTGACAACTGAAGAGGTTCTTGTCCCCCGCCTGCCTTGCTTGTGCAGTGTCATCTCCACAGATCTGCTGATGGCACAGCTTTGGCACTTTCTCTGTGGTAAATGTCAACAAGACAGAGCTAAATGTGTATAGACTGCAATTTTGAACTGGTTTAGCTGCACAACTGCACCTGTAAACTCATATGGTGTGAGATTCTGATATGGGAAATAGATTCCTTGCTGTTAATCAGCTGAGTCTCCTTCAGTGGAGATATCCTCCTCTAATGAAAGTGCTTGTTCAGTTAGGTTTGACTCTTCATAATAAAAATGTCATTAAACATGAACTTTCAGGTGCTCAGACAGTGGCATAAAAAGGGCATATAAATATTTCGGAAAAATTCCATGACACTATAGTCTCTCTGAAATCTTTCATGTATCTTTAATAACTTTCAGCAAGTGGCGTGGAGATGACAATTTATCACCATCAGAAGACTTGCCAGTCACTTTCTCTGCTTTCTCTGTTTTTTTTCTATTTTTTTTTCTTTATATCTGTTTGGTTTAGAGTGGAATTTTTTCAGGCTGTAGAATATGGGTTTCTAAAATAAGGATGTCTGGCATTTTGTGAGTGCCAGACATTTTCTGAGATAGAAAAGAGCTATATACCTAGACTCACTAATTAAGCTTTTTTTTTTTCTTGCTTGCAAAACACTTTCACTGTGGCATCTTCTGGATTGTTTTATGAGTAATGTGTCACTAATGTCAGATAGCCAAATGCTTCTGCTACAAACACCGGTGTCTTTAAATTTTGGGTCAGCGTTTAACAGGTACGTTTTTCTCATCTTACTTTCATGCTTTTATTTCTAAAAGTTATGAACAGTCTTCTTTTTGATTTTGGCATCGTGTATATATATTTTCCCCTCCTGTCCCCTAACTACTTTTTGTCTCCCAGCTCCACTCTTATCTTTAAACAAGCTTTCACCCTGGAGCATGTGACTAGAGCAGCCTTCCACTGCTTGTCATCTAAAGTTTATTCTCCTTCAAATCCCTTTGAAAAATCTTCCTTCTTTCTTCTGGACCTTTGTTTCTCTCTGAAGCAGAGTGAATTTTTGAATTATTCCTTTACTTAAAAATGACACCATCCTGAATGTGAACATACCAAATGCCCTGTGTTAGAGATATTCATGGATTAAAAAAAACTTCTTGGTTATACCTTTTTATGTAGCTCATTGTGCTAACTAGTTGTTCATCATCCTGTGTAGCTGACTGATACAGAAGTGTCTTCTGTTGGAGTTCTATGAAGTGTCAGGTTTTATTTGACAGGAATCAAGGTTTGGGCCTGGTTTCACAAGTGGAACAACACAAGTGCGGAGTTAGTTTCCTCACCTCCAGTAGTGGAATTGGAAATGCCCTTTCTAGCTGTTTCATCAACTGTCCTTTCACTTGGGATCAGAGACCAAGGAGACTGTGTATACAGTGCAAGGTCACTTCTAAGATTACGAATGTGTGACGCTTACACTGAAATTCACCACTCCCCAGACAGTCATTGATGCCCTATTGAACGTCTTGAAGCTTTTTGGGTTTTATTTTAGTAATTTTCATGGCCTGTTATCTGAATTATTACTGTTTCACTGTCTTGCTTGTTGTCTTCTGCCATTACCTGCTTCTTCAGGTCAGAATATTGGAGCTAGGAAGAGTTCTGGTGAGTCATTTAGCCCCAGGAAAGGCTCAATTAAAGACAGACTTGGATGACCTAGATATAAGCCCTTGTGTTACAGACATTGCAGCCTTCCCATGTGACTTATTTTTGTTTTTAATTATTCCTTTCCATAAGAAAGGAATTTCTCTTTGTTTTTCCAATATCCAAACTCAGTTTTCCTAGCAGCAAATTAAGCTTTTGTCCTTCAGATGGCTTCTTTTCTCTGTGGAACAGTCTTATATATCAGAAGATGAGCTAGTATATCCCAAGTTTCCTCTACTCCAGGCTAAGTGACTCTAATTTATTTGCTCTTCACTTTTTAGATTGTTCAGCCTTGCGTTATATGTCATATTTTCAGGATCTCTTGTGGCTCATGTTCCAGTCTTCTGGATGCTGTCCAGTTGGTTCACGGTGCTTCAGCTGCGGCTCCCACTCTTTTAGTACTAAAGGCCTTTTTCTCAGTGGGATGCCATTACTGACTCACATTCAGCCTGTCATCAGCTGCAGCCTTTTGCTCAATTTCTGCAGAACTCTTGTGTCTGGTTCTGGGTGTCTTCTGTGTGTCTGTTTGGTCAAGATGATTTTGAGTTTTTTCCTCATCATTTAGAGTTCTTGCAGTCTTCAGATGGTGTAATTTGCAAATTGAACACTTGTAGTCCCCTTCCCCTCGCAGAGGCAGTTGATGAAAATAATGTCCATTAGACCTGAAAGGGTTTTGTTTCAAAGGGACCTCACTCAGAACTTCTGTTTTGGCAAGAAACTATTGTTAAGTATTTCTGAGTATCCTTTCGGTTTTTTAAGAATTTGCTTTCAGTGTTGCTACCACTCATGTGTGAATTGTGATTTCCTGCCATTACCACCATTTGAAGTTAGACAAAATATTAGTTCTTGCAGGTAGAACTTGTTTGGAAAAATACTGTTGTCTAGTGAAATGCCTATGGTTTTGTTTTTAAGCTGGTGAGAATCTTTTCAAAACTCAATTACCACATCATGCTAGTATGACGTGTTTGTTCAGATCTTCTGCTTTTCTCATAATCTGTTTTATTAGGGTTATCATGAGTGTGGCTGTGAGGTTTTGTAATTTATGTGTTTTCATCTCTGTTTCTTCTTTTTCAAGTTTCATAGGGCTTCAGGTTTGCATGATAGCAAGTATTCTCTAATCCTTTTTGAGACTTAAGATTTTATTCTTTCATTTTCCAGAATAGGTATACCAACTTCAAAATTGAGATTTTTCTTTATTCCCTGTTTTTTAAAGTTTTCTGGTCACAGTGGAGTTTAATTTATACATTATTTTTGTTTCCCATTCAAAAGCCACTATTCTAAAACTGCTGCTTGATACCTGGATATCATTTTTTCTGCACAAAGATAAAAATTTTACAAAACTACAGCTAATAAAGTAGTCTTTGTTCATAATCTTTTCTTTTTGTGTGTGTTTTAGGGTTTTGACCCACCGCATCAAAGCGATACAAGAACTATTTATATAGCAAATCGTTTTCCCCAGCATGGCCATTATGTTCCTCAGAAGTTTGCAGACAACAGAATCATATCATCCAAGGTAAGGAATCAATTTGTCATGGGAAAACCACTTGATCTGTCACTTAAGTTGTGTAGAGAATGTGTGTATTATGTCTAACAGTGCATAGGCAATATTCAAAATGATACAAACTCTAAACCTTTTGGAGGAGAAAGCTGGGTTGCTTCCTATGTAGCTTTTCCTCCTGCTCTCATCCCTCTTTCTTCAGAACCTAAGTACAGAACAATTAAGCATGATGGTCAGAATTTCTGAAGAAAAGTTGGGTTTCAATCAGTGTTGCCCATGTCTGGATGTGATGCACAGAACCATCTAAAAGGAAGGATGAAGCTGGTTCTGAGGATTTATAAAATATCCAAAGTGTAAACTAGAGCTTTGCATAAACTAAATGAGCAATGGACTGCAAATGCAGATTCCCTCCTAGTGTGACCTTGGATTAGAATCAATAGAACTGATGGTGGGGATGTCTTGTCACTGTAGTGTTGGAGAGAAAGTTACAGCTGCAGGAATTAATTTCTTCTCTTCTGCTACCCAGGATGCAAGCAGCCAAATACCTCCAGCTGCTCCTATCCCAGTCGGTAGGAGAACATTTAAAAAGAACATTGAAAACTGGCTACAAAGGCAATGCAGTTGCCACTCCTGCTTCCCTGCTAGCTGTACTTCGGTGGGGGGAGTGGACCAAGCAAAAAAACACCAAAAAAACCTTGGACACAGCAGTTCTGTGTAGGAGTAAGGCAAGACCAGAAGAAGGTTTGGGGCAAGGGAGGTAGAAAATGAAAAGATTGAGGTTAAAAGAGTTTAGTGGGAGCAGAAGTGAATTTTCCTGAAAAATTATTCAGTATGTCATATGTTCTTCCCTCTCTCCCTTTTTTACTTTCAGTATACAGTGTGGAATTTTGTTCCAAAAAACTTGTTTGAGCAGTTCAGAAGAGTAGCCAACTTTTATTTTCTGATTATTTTTTTGGTTCAGGTAAGTTGAATAATACTCAGGAAATTGCAATTAACACTGTAAATTCTGCCACTGTTTGTTGTTCTGTAAATTTAACTTCTCTGCTTACATATTCTGTCTGTGAAACCAACACATTTCCAGTTTCTCTGGAAAAATAACTTTCAAAAGCATGTCTGAATTTAAGTACCATCCTTAGGTTTTAGCTTCATGAATGCTAATATATTTAAGTGTGCGGCTTCAAAGTCTGTTGCACTGCCAGCACAGGGACTCAATTGCCTTCTTCAAAATACAATCTTAAATCTGTTAAGTTAGCAATAAAATTCCCGGTATGCTTTTTGATTTTTTGTGGACATTGGTGGTGTTTCAATACACCAGGAGTTTTACTCTGTGCTCTAAGTGCTTCTTGGACATTCGCAGGCAGAAATGAAGACGTGCAAGTTCACTTGCATCAGACTGGGCACTATGCTTCCTCTTGAGCTAAGCGTAGGCCAGTGTATGTTCTCATTGTAGGTGGAACCTTGCTTTTGTAAATCAACACACTATTGTCACGGTGCTCTAAGGTCCTCAAGTTAAATTTGTTCAGATAAAATGAAAACAAGAATTTACAGCTAGGATTGACAGATTTGAAGACATCAGTGATGTTCTTGGTACAGTATAGGTCAGAAATACTACTGTGGCTTTTGTAGCAGAGTATATATATTGCTTCTAATTAAGACCATCCACAAATATATTGTGACAGTCTGTAAATTTTCTGTGATCTGTGCACTTCCAGCTCTGTAATTGTATTTTAATTCTGGTAAGTTATGCAGACATAGTAGATGAAGGATAAGTGGGAGAAAGGTTGTAAGGAGAGGTAATATCTTTTAAAAAAACAGTTAATTTCTGAAACAGAGACAAGATCTTGGTGTACGGAAACAGCTCTTTCATTATAAAATAGACTGCTTTGGACATGTACAGCCCACCACAGAGATTAACCAACATTTGCAGTATGCATCTGGAAAAGATGGTACCTCATATGAAAACAAACAGGAATAATGAAGAGCTCCTAAGTTTTGTTTGTTATTGTGCAAGATACCAATAGCAGGGCCAGTTCCGCATTTTTTAATCTGTTGCCTCCTGTGTCCCTTGCTCTTGTTCTTTCATTTTTAGAAAGAGTGAACTTTCTAATAGGCTGAAAATTCCCGTGATGGGAGTTGCTAAAGTCATATAGTTCTAACTTAGATTAAAACAATGTGTTGTCCATGCCATCTTCCTAGTTGAGAATATTGACTTTGTCACTCCTATTAAGATGTTTTGTGCTGTTTTAACATATTGTAGCATGAGGAAGATGAGGACATGCTGGAGATGGAACATGATTGTTACTTAAGTAACTGTTGCATTTTTAAAGCTTTTATTTCTTTTTAATGCAGATTTACCTCTCCAGTTCAATTTTGAGTCACATTCCTTTCAAACTGTTACAGACCTCAGTCATATGTAAATGTCATGTCCATGAACAAATACAGATCTAAAGGCAGAACTTCTGTTCAGAGTGTAATCCTGTTCTGCTCTGTTTGTGACTCCAGTGGATGCACTAATTTGTATGGGAAATGTCTTGTCTATATGTCTGTATTCTTTGAAACCAAGCAGAAGGAAAGCTGCAGTAATTTTTGTTCATTCCTTAGAATGGAATTCTGTTTTTATTCGAATTCCATTTGGAAGTCCATTAATACCTAGGGTTTTTTTTTTCTTTTTGTAAGGAAAAGCTGCCTTTAAAAGTTGATCACCATGGCATCTTCTCTGTCCTATGAATCTCATGTGACCCAGATGCAGAGTCTGTCATTACCACCTTGTTCCACTGGGGATGACGGAGCTGGGGCAAGTTTTCATTGTGTGATTTAAACGTGCAGCACAGTCCAATCCACGTCGTTCACTGCACATATGCATGCCAGAAACATGGTGGCAGACTGCATTTTGGCTACATGACGCTCCACACCAATTGTGTGATGGATGCGTGTCCAGCTGCGTAGCAGGCAGAGGGCCATGGTGTTCTGGTGAAAGAGGCAAAAGGAGCAGGCTGCTGCAACAGTTCCACTAGCCCAAAACTTGCTCCATTTCCACTATGAGCTTCTCTTGAGAAAGAAGGAAGGAGTCTAGAGGGCAGAAATGTCATGGGTAATCCTGTGCAGACAAAAATTAGATGCTTTTGTTGTGAGTTTTCTTGTACAGCACGCTACCAAGCTGAAGTTTCAATGCTACAGTTGAGGAGCAGACGATATTGCGGACTAGATCTGATTTTTGTTGTGTTGTATAAATTGTGTTTTAGTGGGGAAAAAAGAAAGCTCATGTGTGTGTTGTAAGGTGGCATAATTTGTTTTCTGTGTGAGGTTGTTGGCTCTTAACAGAGTAAACTTTTCATGTATGACTTTTTTTTTCTCCCTTAATGGTTCCCAAAGCAATGCCATAAGTCTCAGGTAAAGTGGATGAAGTCGGTTTCTGTGGTTTTGAGTAGTTCTTGTGTATATTTTCTTTACAGCACTTGACCATGTTTTATCCTGCAGCAGAGGAGAACCACTAATATTCCCCCCACATACAGAATTTTAGTGTATACACCTCACTTTTGGCATGCCAGCAATAACAGCACAAATTGTAAAAACTGCATGTTAACTTAGGGCAGCCAGAAACGAACAGTCCAGGAAAGGGCGTTCTCTAATATCTAAACCATTGGGAATTGCTAGTTTTAACTGTATTTCCACTCCTAAAGTGGATATTACACTTCACTGCTGTTAAGCAGCAGTTTGCGTAGAGTGTTGAAACAGCTTACAAAATGTAGGCTTCCTTCCTTTGTAATACACTTTTGAATTAATCTTTGTAGGATGAAAACATATGTCCCTTTTACTAAGGACTCTTAAATTGGCACATGTGTTACAAATGTGATTACATCTGTTCTATGCCGTAGAAGCTTTGTTTGCATCATTATTGACATGTATTATTTAGGTGTCAGGAATTGAATTTTGCTCCAGAAATACTGCAGAAAGTACAGTAAAGACACTCACAGGCTATAATGAGGAGTTTGGAAAATAGTTATCTTGCGTCATTGGGGTTTTTTTTTGAAAGTACAATTGTAAAAATAAAATTTGGGCTAATTTTCACGTTTTCATCTCTTTTAGCTCATGATAGATACCCCTACCAGTCCTATTACCAGTGGATTGCCATTATTCTTTGTCATAACTGTGACGGCCATAAAACAGGTAAAGAGAGAAAACCTTTTTTGATGAAGTTTTTCTAAGGTAAACTTACGTAACAAAGTCTGAATGAGGTAATCTTTAAATACCAAAAAAATTAAAAACAAAGTATTTTGTATTTCATGTTTCCTGTTAGATGCTTGAACTTCAGCATTTTGTTTAGTTGTCAAGTGCTTAGTGACTCACCATGGTAGCCTTAAATGGACAGTGAATGACTGTCAGACAGCGTTTTTGTCTAAACATTACATGTCACTTGTTATAAGACCTTTTCTGAAAGCTACTCACTTATTCCTTTGGCACACCTCGCTGCATATTAAAACCAATCCTCCCACATGACACACGAAGAAAGGAACTTGGGAAGATGAAGCAGTGGTGCAATCCATGTTTGTCAGTAGTTAAAAGGCAAACTTTGCCCCAAGGAGTGTGCTTCATGCTGTAAAATAGATATTAACTGTAATCCGGTTCCAGGTGAAAGGCCCAGTTTAGAAAGTTTCTGGTTTTATTTTCTTTTTCATTGGTTGCATAAAACATTTTCTAGTGCTTTATAGCACCTGAAATAAGAAAAATCTGAGTCTGATAGAAATCTTTTTCAAGCACCCTACTACAGCCTACTATGACCTAGAGCCCTTGGAAGGTCAATGTTAAAAAGAAATGAAAAAAAATCTTGTTTTCTTTCAACCCTTAAAGCACGAGGAGAAAGAAACAAACTCATAAATAAAGAGTTGATGTGAATAGAAATTCTAATCTCTTCTGCAAGGAAGTCATTTTCAGGACCTGTCCCTTTCAGAGGGTTTGACAGTGCTGTCTGGGGAAGAGATGCAGTCATAGCAACTGAAAAGTAAGCAGGAGACTGTTATGGAGCTACAACTGGAATTTCAATTTACCTCCTGTGCCAGTAAGCCCCAAAGCTACCCTGAAATAGGGCAAAAATAAAAATAGCTCTAGCTTTCAAGTTAATAGAATGGGAGAGAAGGAATCTTCATGCTGAAGTAACATTTGAACTAAGAGTTCATCCTCTTCCTGTGCAATTTGTGTACATAAACTGCCCTAATCCTGTTCAATTGAAGTTGTCCTCACCCCAAAAAAATCACACAATATAGCTCAAGCGCTATAGTCATAAGTAGGCAATGAAAACTAACCCTTAAAGCTTTGTGAACTGAAAGAGACTGTGCAACTTAATTATATAAACATTTTTTTCCAGAAAGAAGTTGGACTTGTATAACTCTATAATACTCCAGAATAATCTTATAATTTTGTTTTCAGATGTACAATCTTATCTTGGGAAATTTAAGTACCTTATCATCACTTACAAAAAATAGAGATTCTGGCATTCCTTCTAGAAGTTTCAGATCATTCATGACTCACTAAATGTTAAGAGTTATTCCAGTTGTCTCAGTACCTCTGCAAGGACTGTTTCATGTTTATCCAACGTGCTGGAAAGTAGGCAAAGAGTATTCGCAAGCTGTTACCTTGGAAAGACAATTCAGTTGTGCTCTTTCCAATGGGCTACCCTTGGACGAGTCAGAAACACAAATATTCTGTTGGAATGCAGAGGGGAAAATACCCAGTATGGTCTCAAAAGCAGACAGAAGTGGAATAGGAATCAGATTTTAGGGGAAGAACCTCCTTTTGAAAGACGCGGGGCAATCATTTGATACAAAGTTATTTCAGGATAAATGCTAAACTATAAATTGGTCGTCTCAAAAGATGAAGGGGGAAAACAGAAGAATTAACTGTGTGAAGGTTTGAAGCTTAGCACTGCATGGAAAAACCTCTCCCTTGCTTCCAGAAGGCTGGTTAATGTGGCACTTGTAGAAGAATGCAGAACTCAGCCTTATTTCGATCTCAGCCAAGGGGCTAGAACTTTTTCTTCTTAGAAGTGTAATTGCACCTAGGTCAGAAGAAGGACGTACAAGACTGCAAAGTGATGCAACTCATGCTGTGTCATTTTGTCTGTCTTGTTAGCCAGAGTGCTTTCCACCTTACGCTGTGAAGATGTGCATGTGGTCCTCAGAGGAGTCAGAAATATTTTTTTTTGCTTTATTTTCTTTTCTATAAAGTTAAACCCAAACCAAGATATTTCCTAAGGAACTTTAGGGAGCTTAGTCTATTTCAGTAAGTTCATAGGTATTTAGGAAACAAGCTGATGGGACACAGATGTTTACATGACTGTCAGCTAAATTAGGAACAACTACTTTGTAGACTTTGATTAACTATAGCCTTACACTGGGAATGAAGAACCTGGTAATTTAATACACAGGCCTGTTTTAATTTTGTCCTTTTCTCAAGTACATTGATGCAATTACTAAAGCAGGACTTAAGAATATAATTTAATTGAGGGTTTTTAATCTTTAGTTTCTGTTTATGCATATAAACAACATTCCAGGTATTCCTATTGCATCTTTCTTTTTAACAGTACTTTGCAATATTTGCAAGTGAGGATAAGGAACTCTCTCAAAAATGCTGCATTAGGTAGATTTGGGGGGAATTTAAACTGACCGCAGTAAGTTGGCTCTTAAGAACTCCCTGGTGTGAGGTGTCACCCTTCTGTTGTAGGCAGTAGTGTCAGATGGAGAAAGCGCTGAAATCTGTACTTTCTAAAGAAGGCAAATTTCAGTCCTTTGCCAAATGCCCATATTGCTCAGCTGTTCAAGTTTATGAGACAAATGCCCCAAGGTTACTGGATGTGACTTAAATCCTTGTTTTCTTCTATCAGTCACATTTAGCAAGGAGCTGTTGCTACTGAGATGCTTTTTCATGCTGATTAGGATGGACTCTTTGAAGTCTTACGGGGTTTAGGGTTCTGATTTGCCAGTATCTCTCTGTGTGACTGCTATTACTGCACACTTTTTAATTCTTTTTAAGCAGCTAGCGTAGAAAGCTTTTGCCCCTTGTCCATAAGTTGTACCGTTGTGCTGTCCTTATTTGTCATAGTAACAGTGGAGGTGATGAAGGTAGCACTGCAAAACTGTACTTTAAACAGGCTAAAGTTTCCTCCCAACTCCAGTCAACTGCATAATTCTCCCAGCTGTATCTACGTAGTACTTTTTGTATTATGACATTCATATAATGTTTGTTGTGTTCTGGGATGAGTTGGGATTATGCCTTGCTGTTTCAGAGGGCTCCCTTCTTCTGTCTACAAACTTCCAAGGTAGTGGTTTTAACTCTTTTGTGTATTTTTTTTTTTTATATACCTACAGAAAAGCATTTTAGGAAATGTTTTTGTTACAGCTAATAGTTGTAGGAGTCTTACCAGCCTGTAAGAGGTGGCTGAACTTCCTTTATGGACTGATAGATTTCTTGTGGTTGCTTGTGGGGCTTTCCAAACATTACCTAGACATGAGGATAAGAGATCATGCTGTTGACAGTCATGCTATTAGATTAAACAATGTATTAATAGTTTAGGAAAATAAGAGAGGAATAATATGCCCGGATACACTCTCATGAATGTTTGCACATATCCATGGGAGAAATGGTGCTTAAAGAGGTGCCAACTATGGGCTAAAGGAAAACTGGTTAATTTATCCACTGAAAACTCAGTTGCAGAGAACGCTTGCATTAGGGCTCACAAAGAGTTAACACCTTCTTAGTCATCTTTGCTTGCTATAGAGCTGATGTGTGAACAGCATGTCATGGAAAATTAAGAAATCTTAAGATTTCATGCATAGGCTATGGCAGTTACTATAAGAAGTGCTATATGGTATGACATGAGGAAGTAATTTGTTATGGCTCTCTCTCAAAAAAAAAAGGAATCCATAAGAGAGACTGGAAGTGACTATTCTGAGTTTTGTGGTATATAAATCCATATAGATAAAAGATTGAAAGAGTGCTTGTTTGTCTCATCTGCAGAAAATGTCACTCTTAGTTTGTTTTATCAGAATGTAGGATTTTCTTTACCACTTTTGCTACTTACTTGCTTTCACTTATTTGTGTAAAAAGAATGAAAATTAAGAGGTTTCCCAGGTTCTTGGGTAACAGCTCTAGCAGAAGCTCAAGAAAAGTTAGTAACTGTATTCATGCTATGCAGCAAGTGATTTGAAGTGCAGTTACTCAGAAGAAATTTGTTATCTTTATAGATTTATTGCTTAAAAAATAAATTAGTATGTTTTCCACAGGGTTATGAAGACTGGCTACGACATAAAGCAGACAATGAAGTAAATGGTGCTCCAGTTTATGTTGTTCGAAGTGGTGGCCTTGTGAAAACTAGATCTAAAAATATTCGGGTATGTGCCTAAGAGCAAATTGAAAACCTTGGTTTTGTTGTACAGCTAAAGCTCTTGTTTCATTACTAGTCATTGTGGTTTGTTTCATCATGAGTTGGTAACAATGCTAAAATGAATTCCTATCTTTTAAAACTCTATTTGTACACTTCTCATTTGTGTTCACTTCATTAGGTGGGGGACATTGTCAGAGTAGCCAAAGATGAGACTTTTCCTGTTGACCTGGTGCTTCTGTCATCTGATCGAGTTGACGGTTCATGCCATGTTACTACCGCAAGTTTGGATGGAGAGACCAATCTTAAGGTCTGGGTTATTCAAATAGATTCTAATCAGCTTGAGGTGCCATTTTTATTTCAGCCTGTTGAACTACCCACTGCTGCCTGGTAGTCCTGTATCATTAACTGAATGGACATTGTTTTACAGACACATGTTGCAGTCCCAGAAACAGCAGTGTTACAGACCGTTGCCAACCTGGACAAACTAGTAGCTGTTATAGAATGTCAGCAGCCAGAAGCAGATCTATACAGGTATCACTTTACTAGTAAATATTTAGAAATGAAATCAAAGCAAAGTGTTTAATGTTAGGAATGTTATGAGTCTTGCTGGGAATAAAATGGCTTCAGACATCTGCTTAAATTTTAAGTTTTAACAATCAGTGTGTTTATACTGCACTTAAATTGCAAGTGACAGTTAAATCTGATTATTTCAGTAGTAATTCAGAAATTAAAAGATAATAATTAACTTTTGCATTTTAATCATCATGCTTATGTGCATTTCTGTTCTAAGCAGTAAATGTGTTTCCAGATTTAAAAAAAACTAAATGGCCTGTAAGTCTGAGCAGGCTGGAGAAAGAATTGTATAAGGTTCTGCCAGGACATTTCAGTACTGTGTATTATATTTTTTTAAATGGAATTAACTCAAACTGTAGCAAATTATTGTAAGCTTCTGTTAATTCTAAGGGTATGTGTTAGTTATGTTTATTTTGCTTATGTTCAAGAGAAGATTTTGAAGCAAAAAAACCCATTTGTATCTGGGAGTGTTTAATTTCAGGTTTTGATATAAGCAAGCAATGCCCTAGACTCTGTAAAACAGCATCATAGGTAACAAAAGTTGTATTCCCATCCAATTTTCTCCTGGATTGTGTAATGGAAAATGGTAGCTGTGAAGTAGTAGTTTTCAAAATCCAAGTATATCACAGCAGCTATTCTTAAGTAAGCTCTGGGATATTTGAGAAATACTAAATTCTTAAAAACTAAGATACTTAATTTGAACAGCTGCTCAAATATTTGATCTTCAGTTCAGTTTTTAAAGAATATCAAGTTAAGGTACAAGTACCATCGAAGTTTATATCCCCATTTGTAGCTGGGGTCATGCTATAAATATGCAAGAGTCAGATTTTAAAAGCAGAGTAGATTTGCTTCATTAAATGAAAAATTACCATTTCTGAAGGATAATATGCTAACTTGTATTTATTGAGGAGTTATTTCTTAGTGGAACATCAAGAAGCCGCAATCTGTTTTAGCTGAGTAAGAAATATAATCTTCTGTGGTTTTATTAATGACACTTAATAGGCTTTCTCAAGTGACTGCTTTTTTGAAGGATAAATGTTTCTGCTGTTCAATCTCTCTTGTAAAATTATTGCCGGTGTTGTCATATTGTTTTAGTTTGTTAATAAAATTTGATTATTTTGTAGTTATGAACCATTAATAACTTTTTTTTTTTTTGTAAATATAGAGGGGTTTTTGAATGTTTTGAGTGTTTGTGTAGCTATTTGTAATGTGTGACCATGTTTCATAGATTTGTTGGAAGAATAACTATAAATCAACAAACTGAAGAAATTGTACGGTAAGTAAAACTACAAAATTAATGCTTAGAACTGATGGGGGATGGTTAAAATCATAAACATCACAAAAGAGTTGCTGTCGAATATGTGAAGGGGAGGAGTATTTTTACTGAAGGTATCAATGGTAGCTGCATATTTCTGAAGGAGATGAGAAATAGTAGTGAAAAAGTTCATTACTACTCATTTTATCAGATTCAATAGGACAGTTGTGGAAAGCTTGGCTGTTCCAAAGGGAGTGAGTTTTAATAAATTTCATCGAACCTTTTCCAGTGGCATAATATGTAGGCTACAACAGATCCCCTGTAGTCTATTTATCAGAGGCACTGAGCAGGTGTTTTTGCAATTGAAATTCCTAGAAATTATTAGTCTGTTTTAACAAAGCCTCTGCTACAAATTTGTAGCTTTTAGGATATATTTCAAACTACTGTACTACCTAGACTGTAAACGTAAATGCTGACATCTGTACTAGTCAACACATAACTGTGTGCACAGAAAGCTATGTGCACACAGTCATGTGCTTGCAGCCTTTCCCTCTGCAGTCATGGCAAGTCCTATACAACTAAACACAGGTGAAAATACAGAAGTGAAGACATAAAGCTGCTTACAGACCTAGACCCACACCTGGACTTCCTCAAAAGATTGCTAATGGTGTTGGGCTGGCCCCAGCTAGCAGCTAAGATTCCACACAGCTGCTCGTTCATTTCCCCCCACCACAACAGAAGAAGAATGAGAAAGGTCATGGTTTGAAATGTTGACAGGGAAATCGTTCATACGAAATGGCCATATTTTCAGGGATATTTAGAATTCAAGTTATTTGTTTTCTCTTGAGAGTCGCTGATAATCAAACTTTCAAAAAACTGGGTTGCCTATTCTCAAAATGTGAAGTGCTGTGTTACGGTTTATAAATATGTCACAGAAACGGGTAACTGCTATGATTCTTTCACTCGTCCAAAATGTCATCCTCTACACTTTTTTTTTTTTAAATTGAAATTTCTACCTGAATTGAATATTAATGCAGTATTATTTTCCCTGTGATGTGTGCCTTCAGACTGAAGAACTGAAAGTCCTTCAATCTGAGAGCCTCCTGTGAGGCTGGAGGCTGGCAAACCTCCATCAATGCTAGATAGGAGTAACATGGAGTTCAGAGTGAATCAATGATTTGTCAATAATTTTGCAAGAAATATGGGAATGTAGAAGGCAGATCAGCTGACCCCAAGTCCAGTGCCCTAGCCACTCCCACAAAAAAAAGCAGCACTCAGCCTTTTTTTCTAAGGTGGTTTTGTGTGCTACTTCACTTACAGCTTTTTCAAGAATTCATTACTGCCAAGCTTGACATGTTCAGCTTTGGGATAATCTATCAAAATAATTTAGTTGACAACAAATTTAAAGGGACCATGAAAGATAATTGCAAGTTTTGACTGCTGGTGGAACTGTATCTTCTGACTGTCAAAGATAAACTTGTCTAGTCTGTTGCACTGATTCAGGTTTTGCATTTTGGGTTTGTCAGATGGGTTTTACAAACTGCAAAATACACTTGAATCCAGAAATATAAATTAGAATTCTTAGGAGAAAAGGTTAAATGCTTGAGCGTTTAGTCCCTTTTAGTTCAATTTTTCAGTTAGAGTCTAGCCTAAAATATTAACATATGTGTATAATTTAAAGACCCTATCATAATCTGTGTGTATAATTGGTGCACATGGTATTTGTGATGACAAGTGTCACATTTGCAGTAACATTTAACTTAAATGTTTAACTGTGGGAGGTGAGTTGTGGGTTTGGAGTGGTTTTTTGAGTAGCTCCAGGTTATATTTTCAAAGGAACTTAAAGTGCAAGAGCTTTGTTTGTATAATAGTGATCATGGAGTTGTGGTACAGCTAGTGGAAAAGGCAAACTCAAGGGTTACATGCTGTAGCACTTAATATATGATCTTTAGCTCTTTTGCTTATACCCAGTATGTCAATCTGGCCACTGCAATTGTTCAGTTTTTTCTGTCATTTGAAACACTGCCAAAAATAGTGAATGCACTTTTTTCTTTTTCAAATTTGAAACCAGCCCCGCTGGCAGTTTTTGAAGATGATGTAGCTGCTGGCTGCATATGGCTCTAACCTTTTATGCGCCTCCATTCTAACTGGCCTGTTATTTTCACAGCACTGTTTACAGTTCACTTCACCAGTGAAATCAATGTATTCATGTGGAGTGATAGATGTGAGGAAAAAACATTTAGGAAATTTGACTCATGCATCAGGAAGCAGAACTTGGTGGTGTTGTGCCCATCTAGTTATTTGTCTTTGTTTCTCTGGTATGAGGAGCTTTTGAACTTGCTCAATCAGTTTCAGTTTGACAGAGGGGTAGAAGCAAGGTAGGTAAAGTAGCCAAAGCTGAAGTAGCACTCTTATTGCACTGTCAGCTTAACAGGGTTTGTTGTTTTTTTTGCTTGCTGGCTTATGAAGTAACTTTCAGGTCTCTCTGAACCGACTGTTTGGTATATTCATCTCGGTTGCTAATCATGGGATATTGAGCAGTATGGCACTGACCAAAGGAAGCTGAGAGCTTTGTGGAGATGTGTGGGTGAGGTGTGGTCGAAGGGGTAAGAGCACTGAAGATGGACATAAATAAGGGTGGAATTTGAGTTGTTGCAATGGGAATTCATAGAAGATCTAGGAGAAGCGTGCATAGGAAACTAGATTTTTATGGTTCTGTGATTTCATTAGTCCTACAGAATACAGAGCAACTAATTCTTAAATGCTGATCTGTCTGTTTCTTTTTAGACCTCTTGGGCCTGAAAGTCTCTTACTTCGTGGAGCAAGATTAAAAAACACTAAAGAAATATTTGGTTTGTAGACATCTACGTATTTCAAGAATATTCTCTTCTTAAACCATGTTGATGAACTGTGGTTTAATTCAACTTGCACTGAAGAAATTGTAATAATCTTGCTGACTGTTACCTGAGGGGATATGATTATAGATGAAAGTAATGATATTATGCTGAAGAATCTCTAAGGATATAAATTTCCGGCTCCGCTCTGTGAAAACATTTGAAGTGGTTTGATAGAGGAATAACTTAACTTCAATGGATAAATGACTGTTGTTACTGTTATCTGCTATTCAAGTCATTCTCCTGAGATTTACCATTCTGTTTTCCATGTAATACATGTTGAAGTGCAGCACAGTCATAATGAGCAGCATTTTAGTAGGTCTTAAACTACTTCAGTAGTAGTGTTTTACGATAGCAGAATATTGCAGATACAAAATACTGTCTCACCATTGTGCTGAAATAAACACAAGTAGTATCTCTTGATTTTTATCCTAAGTCTCTCAAAATGAAAAATTCTACAAATTGTATTTATGCAGAAAATAAACTATAACTCTTTCCCCTTCCCTCCCCCTTCCTTCCCAGGTGTTGCAGTGTATACAGGTATGGAGACAAAGATGGCATTAAATTACAAGAGTAAATCTCAGAAACGGTCAGCAGTAGAAAAGTATGTTTATTTTCTAATATATTTCTTATTTGTAGAGTTTTAACTTAGTTTTTCCTTGGTAACTTGAAAACCCTTATGATCTCATGGAGTTGTATGCAAGGCAAGAGAGTGTAGTTGCTTTGCCTTCAGTAGGAAACTAAATATAAAATCTGTTGCTTAATATTTCATCCTTCATAGTTTCTTTCAGTAGTATACAAAGCTGAAACGCCCAAGCTTAAAAAGATCTCAAGCACAAAAAGTTACTTTGAGAGGTTTGTCTTTGAGATGTGGAGGTCATTTAATGAAAGGTGAAATGCTGCTTGAACCAGATGCTCAGAGATAGTTTGTACAGCAGTCCCAGCTTCTGATGTTCTCTGCATCCTTTACTGTAAAACTGATGATACTTTTAAAGAGGATGGATTGAAATGAAATCTTAAGTGCTTACAAATCTTTCTCCTGAATTGTATTTGATATCATGGAAAATAGCTTTGTTTCACATAGTCTGAAGGATATAGCCTGTCCAGGTATGTTTTGCGATTAGTCTTGCTTCTTGTACAAGTCACAGGTTCAGGTTAAAAATCTCCTTATAGTTACAGGATAGATGTTGTTAAAATAGAGATTTGTATGTTGAACTTAAGGAATTATTTGAAAAGGAAAGGGAGCTCTAATGCTGCCTTTATTGCAGTTACTAAAAATCAGAGATAGCCTCCCAGCATTCTTTTGCAAATGTGGGATTGATTATTCTTCTATAGTCAGCTACAAACAGAACTGTAGAGTGCACAAGAAAATTTCAGGCATCAAAGCAAGGGGTGGAAAGATGGTCTGGCCAGCATTGCAGAATATAGAGGCAAGTTTGACTACATCTTGGTATAGTGTGGTCTGGGTTAAATAATCAGATGCCCTTGGTAGTGCTCTTCTAACTGAAAAAAAAAAAAAAAGGTGCAGTCTTGGATTTCTTCTGTGGCTGGTTGTACTGCCTTCACAGCCTTACTAGGTAGTCAGGGGAGCAGAGAAGGACAACAGGTATGATACCAGTCAACTCTTTGGGTATTGTTGCACCTTAATCTAGTTTTCGTAGTGCTATATGTAGAGTATATCTTAGTCAGGTGTAGGATTTCTTTTCACTTCTGATGATTGCTTGTTGCATAGAAACTTCGTATCAAACACAGGATACGTTTTAAATAAGTCAAATAAGTTTTTTATCAATTCATGTAACTACAGTGTGTCAGTAGATTAGGTAAAATAAACTGAAGTTGGGATTTTTTTGCCTCTTTATAGGTCCATGAATTCCTTTTTGATTATTTACCTAATAATCCTCCTCTTTGAAGCCATTTTGAGCACTATTTTAAAGTATGCATGGCAAGCTGAAGAAAAATGGGATGAGCCTTGGTATAATGAAAAAACAGAGCATGAAAGAAACAGCAGTAAGGTAATGTAGTTCTACCTAGTTGCATGTCTGAGGAACCCTCAAGCACTATGTACTGTGATAGTTATGTCTCTATTCTTGGAATGATCCACATGATCCACTTGCAAGTCTGTTTGACGTTGTCTCAGTATATTTGAGAGAGTTAGTGCTGTGTAGCATCATCCTTGTATAGAGGTAACATCCTACCTCTGTTATTTGCTGGACTTTTTCTTACTTTATGAAAAAAAGCAAGCTTTTTTGAAAATTTTGGCCTTTATTAGGACATATTTCTGATGTTTTATGTTCTTATTATAGTTACTGTTCTTTTGGATGTCTTTTGTCATTCCTGAAATGAAAAGAGGAGGGGGGTGGCTCTTCTTGAGCACGTTCCACTGCAGTGATTTCACAGTTCAGGCATTTTGGACAATTTGTGATGTTGAGATTTTTCAGGCAATTTTGTAAGGCTGTAATTTTGCTCAAGCTCCTGCTTGCCTTCTCACTTATCTGTAGAGATTGGAGGGATACTTTGAAGTGTTCCTTAAGTCTGCAGTTCTGAGAAGTGTCCTTTTTTAATCATTCTATATTATTCTTTGTCCTGTTTAATTTTTGATTTCTGTACGAGTCTGCCTTCTTCCAAAGCAGTTCAGGAGCTGGCTGAAGCTGATTCTAAGTAGAGAGGATTTTCAAAGAACAGAAGAATGTGGAATCAAGTCTCCACATCTGATGTGGTGTCAGACTTTTAACATCCACATCCACCCATACCCTCCCCACGTCCTGGAGAGTTGAGAATTGAGTGTTTACTAGGTGCCATATGTGCAAAAAGGTCCAAATGCCAAATCAAGAGAGTTCTGTTCTGCTGAACTTCCTGAGTTTTTGTCAGACGCCTCAATTATTGATACTAAGTATTTATAGCAGCACTCCCTAATTAGGAAGAACAGACATTATTTAATTTTGGGAACTGATTACTTTTATACTCCCTTTTTCCAAAACTTTCTCTTACACACCAGTATCTGATAGAGTTGAAAGAGATGTTCCAGTTTTTCTGTTCTCTGATCTCCCTTGCTCAATGTTCAGGTGTTCGTAAGTCTTCCCAAAGTACAATTTAGATACTGAGTTTCTTGTGCAAATGAAAAAGAGACTTCAAAGAGACTGTAATGTTGCATTTCAGAGTTTGTTAAAATTGTCATACCTAATAAAGAGAAATTTCTGTCCTATTACATAGCTGTTTACTTGAAATGCATGTGTTGAATGCAGTGATCTGAAGAGGCATAGAGGTGTGTGCCATTGAAATCCACACAGTCCGTTTCTTATCATGTGGTCTGAGTCACCCACATCGCTGGGGAATGCCAGTGGACAAGGGACCCTCTTGTCAGTCTGCTGTCCTAAGCCAGTACAGAATACTTGCAGATTCCTCTGACAGCATGGAGTATCACTTGCTTGCTTTCACTATTTATGTTTCCTTAGAAAAGTCTTTGAATGGTGCTGTTTGATGGAATAGGAACCACATTATTTTTTTTGAGACACGGGTCTTCCAAGAGACCTGTTTGAAAACAGACTCACCATGGTAGTTTCGTATTAATGGGCAGGTTCAGTAGAAAGGACAAGAATTCATGAACCTGAGAACAGAAGCATCCAGTCATAGCTTAGGGCAGTCTCTTGGCATCAGTTTGAAGGCACGTTTCTGGGGCAGCCTGGCAGTGCCTGCATTGCCACTGTGTTGCCTCTCTCAGGTTAACGTGGGACTTGGTCTTATCCAGCTCTGTCAGGTTGTCATTTTTCATGCATATTGAAATGTAACTAAGTAACCACGTTTCACCTGATCATTGCACTAATCTTTACATTTTCTCCTTTTCTTTTATAGATTCTGCGATTTATTTCAGATTTTCTTGCTTTTCTGGTACTTTATAATTTTATCATACCTATTTCACTTTATGTGACTGTTGAGATGCAGAAATTTCTTGGATCTTTTTTTATTGGCTGGGATCTTGACCTCTACCATAAAGAAACAAACCAGAGAGCACAAGTAAATACTTCAGACCTCAATGAGGAATTGGGACAGGTAGAGTGAAAAACACATTGTTTTTCTTTTCTTTTTTACCTTCTATTTTCTACTTCATTTTTAATATTAAAATACATTACTGTAGACTTGTCTTGGTTGTGCTTGGATTTTTGATCAATATAAGAATAAGGTGAATAAGGTGAATTGAATCTGATGGCAGAAATGAAAATTTTTACATGATCAAAAAAAGGTGTGTAGTGGAGAGTGTGAGTTGAGATTTTAAAAATTTATTTATTCTAAAAAATAACTACAACTCTAAGTCGGGATTTGTTTTATTTTACAAAAGGTAGAGTATGTGTTCACAGACAAAACTGGCACATTAACTGAAAATGAGATGCAGTTTCGGGAGTGCTCCATTAATGGCATAAAATACCAGGAGGTCAATGGTAAACTAACTCCAGAGGGGTTTTCTGAAGATTCTCCAGATGGAAATAGGCATAGTTTGGTAAGACTTATTTTTTTCCCCAATAAGGCACCCTAGATAGAAAATGTTTTATTTTAGAGAAATAATCTTCTAGTGTTAGCATTTTTTTAAGAATCAGAATTTTTAAGTAGTTCTTGAAACAATTAAGTTTCAAACACTTAACAGTGTTTGAACTGAACCTCTTCAGTTCGGTTCAATAGAACTGAGACTATTTATTAAACATTTTGAGATGTGGTTATTTAACATGCAATACTTGGCAGGTTTTTAAGTAAAAACGTTTTATAATTATGTTCAAAACTAGGTTGATATGTAAATGCTACAAATAAAGTTTTTTTTCTTTCTTACAGATGAAAGAGGAGGAACTCTTCTTGAAAGCCGTTTGTCTTTGTCATACAGTGCAGATCAATGCAGATCAAACAGATGGTGCTGATGGTCCCTGGCATGCCAATGGAATAACACCCCAATTGGAGTATTATGCTTCTTCACCAGATGAGAAAGCTTTAGTGGAAGCTGCAAGCCGGTGAGCTCTACTGCCAAAACTATCTAATGTAGACATTGCCTGCTGGGGCAGGCAGTTCATGGTAAAAGCAACCTTAGAAATGGCTCTGAAAGATTGTAAAGCCAAGGGCCTGGCACTGTCAGTTTACTATGAAAACATACAAAAATAAAATACACAAAACCCTAGACATATCTTAATTATCTGTAATATGTGTATATAATTATATATTTTATATAAGTTATATATAAAATATTTTTT